AGATAGATTATTGTGGTATTTCCAATTTATGGAGAATTCAAGTTTTGGGGCATAAACTTGAATATTGTAACATATATTAATTATTATAGTAGATTTTGGCCGAAATTGTCCCGTGATTTTTTTCCCTCTACATTGGAGGGTTTTTCCACGTAAAAATTTGGTGTTACGTTTTCTTATTTTTTTTTTGTTTGAATTATTTATTTGCATAATTAATCGTTCTAGTTAATTGTTTGGATTATGAAATTTATTCTTGCAATAATTGAAATTTTCCTACAATCCTTTCGGGAGAGCGAATAGACAAGGAGAACTAGTAGGCTTTGCTATGTTAATATAATCTACACTTGCCATGCTAATATAATTTACAGCACGATATTTAATACACTGTGCAGTGACCGCTACCATTTGGCACCATCATTTGTCACTCCTATACAACATATGGTTGTGCGTTGAACTAAATGGTCAAAAGCTATTACCTGTGATCAATATAAAACAAATCGTTTCCGACGAACTAAAAGGTCAAACGGTCTTCATCGATGACCAACACAAAGTAAATGGCCAATATGAACTAGACGGTCAAACTGTCTTCTTCACCCATAACCAACAAGTGCTACCAACCATTGTTCTACTTGTTGTAAAGAGCAATATAGTCATCCAAAGTCCAACTCGAAAACATTGGATGATTTGAACCACAACCCATGTTATACAGGCCAACCATGAACGATACGGATATTTTCATTTAAGAATAATCATATCGTCCCAATCGAATACATCTAGTCAAATCGTATCTCTAATAAAATGAAAATCTTAGAGGATAATCATATTCTCATCCAAATTGTTGCGACCTTGTTCCTACAAGTATAGTCTCACTGCTTAGAATTCTAGGTATGCTCAATCAAAATTATTCAACTTAATTTTTGTCTAGTACTCTCTCTTATTCTGTCAATAAATACCATTGACTTGGTTGTCATAGGGTCCTTGACTAACACCAAATCGGCGTTTCCTTAATATTCTTCCTTTTGTTCTATTTTCTTAAGTCCCATCCCACAGAATAACTCGTGGTTAATGGTTTTGCTCTTCTCAATTACAAAATCTATTGTCTACATTTGTCAAGTATGTTAACCATGTAATGACTCACCACAATCGATCAAGTGTGTAAGAGTACTATAGGATCGTGAACCCCTCGTAGTGGAATGCAGCCTACATAAGTATTATGCCCTAGGTCCAATCAACTTTGGACATAAATACTTTTATATATAATTAATGCAATTAAATGGCAGATCTATTATTTAATTAATAGACAATTAAATAAATAATAGAGTCCGTAGATTCAAATCTTCGTAATTTGTTAATCACAAGGAGTTATAATTGTGAGATACAAATTACATCTGATTGAATCTTAAATCATCCGTGGTCGTAAGTAATAACGAGATACGGATAGACCATCACGTGTTGCATTTCTTACTTGTGAAGTAAGTAGCTGATCTCACAACCTAAAGTGTGGTGACACTTAAATGAACATGTGGATATTTTTATTATAGAACAAAACATTGGAGACCCGTCGAGAGATTCCACATGGATAACTATCTGAGTGTCAGTGGTTAATTTCTAACGTTCG